ATTTCACAGAACAAGTCCTAAGGTTTTCTTTTAGTGTGCTTTCAGGGTACATTTTCCACCTCTTGAAAGAGCTACATTACCTGCTAATTGACTCATGCAATTCTGCACATGTGAAAACTGGATGTTTTGGGAGTTATCTCCCCCTATTAAAAAGTCTCACAATTTTTTTTTTCTAAAAATGAATGCACATTTTTTTCTTTAAATATTAAGATAAGACTCTACTTTATGCGAATAAAAACAAAAAAGATGCAGTTTTCATCTAGACTCCTATAAATAGCAGGAAAATCCCTACCCAGCATGCTTCTCTCTGGGAAAAACCCCCTGGATTTTATACGAAACTGTGTTTAGCTACCTTAAAGGAAATAATTTTTTTTTGCAATTCACTTTTTTGTATTTAGGTGCAAAGAGGACAGAATTCCAAACATTTTGGTGCATAAATTGTTGAATTTGGTCCAGAAATGGGCAAGTTATTGTAAATTTAGTATTACATGTCTACGACATTAGTCGACGCATAAAACAGGACTTCGAAGAGAAATTCAAACCTAACCGAATCAGCTCACACAATAATTTTATTTTTCTTCAATTTAAAAAACACAAAGTATGAAATATACAGTATTTGAATATCAATAAAATGTTACATTATAAATTTTTTGAAAAGCTGCCAAACAATTTTTACAGATATTGCTAGTTTCTGTATAAACAAGGGGGGGGGGGGGGTCTAATTGGAAATAGTCACTGTCTTAAATCAGAAGATTGCCTAAAACATCTGGATGGTGTCACCCTAACTAGATACTCAATAGGTCTATGTCACATGTATATCTATACAGAAGATACATATTCTCATTTGCGATCAATTAAATTGAAGGTCATGACCTTGCGAAGCTTCCATTTTTGACATGACGTCACACTTTGATGTCACAATGCAGTTGCGTCATAATGTAAAATAACAACTTTAGCCCCTGAATCCTTATCATATGTATAAATTCTATGGAACATGTATCTAATAGGCATTATGCCTTACACAGTGTCAACCTGAGATTATATTGTATGGTTTACTACATAAATTAAAACAAATAAAGCAATTTTCTATGAACTTACAGGCAAATAAATGTGGGAAATGTCATCAAATGCTACTCCTTAAGGGTGCAAAACACAGTTTTATGTATGACGTTATCAGGACGTTACTTGGTGAGGGACATGCAAAACTGACCCCTATAAAAAAATAAAATGGAGGCTTGTTACATAGACTTCTGCATATCAATGGAAAGATAAAATTGTGAATTTTGTAAATATCCAACTATAATACATTCATCAATTACTACTAGGGGGTATTTGACACCTGAAATATGGGGGATATTGGGTTGTTTATGCATCCATTTTCAGTGCACCTATGCATTTTTAACCCCCCTGCTCAACAAAAACAGAAAAAATCAGACAAAATAAGTTGCATGCATTTCACAGAACAAGTCCTAAGGTTTTCTTTTAGTGTGCTTTCAGGGTACATTTTCCACCTCTTGAAAGAGCTACATTACCTGCTAATTGACTCATGCAATTCTGCACATGTGAAAACTGGATGTTTTGGGAGTTATCTCCCCCTATTAAAAAGTCTCACAATTTTTTTTTTCTAAAAATGAATGCACATTTTTTTCTTTAAATATTAAGATAAGACTCTACTTTATGCGAATAAAAACAAAAAAGATGCAGTTTTCATCTAGACTCCTATAAATAGCAGGAAAATCCCTACCCAGCATGCTTCTCTCTGGGAAAAACCCCCTGGATTTTATACGAAACTGTGTTTAGCTACCTTAAAGGAAATAATTTTTTTTTGCAATTCACTTTTTTGTATTTAGGTGCAAAGAGGACAGAATTCCAAACATTTTGGTGCATAAATTGTTGAATTTGGTCCAGAAATGGGCAAGTTATTGTAAATTTAGTATTACATGTCTACGACATTAGTCGACGCATAAAACAGGACTTCGAAGAGAAATTCAAACCTAACCGAATCAGCTCACACAATAATTTTATTTTTCTTCAATTTAAAAAACACAAAGTATGAAATATACAGTATTTGAATATCAATAAAATGTTACATTATAAATTTTTTGAAAAGCTGCCAAACAATTTTTACAGATATTGCTAGTTTCTGTATAAACAAGGGGGGGGGGGGGGGGGGGGTCTAATTGGAAATAGTCACTGTCTTAAATCAGAAGATTGCCTTAAAAATCTGGATGGTGTCACCCTAACTAGATACTCAATAGGTCTATGTCACATGTATATCTATACAGAAGATACATATTCTCATTTGCGATCAATTAAATTGAAGGTCATGACCTTGCGAAGCTTCCATTTTTGACATGACGTCACACTTTGATGTCACAATGCAGTTGCGTCATAATGTAAAATAACAACTTTAGCCCCTGAATCCTTATCATATGTATAAATTCTATGGAACATGTATCTAATAGGCATTATGCCTTACACAGTGTCAACCTGAGATTATATTGTATGGTTTACTACATAAATTAAAACAAATAAAGCAATTTTCTATGAACTTACAGGCAAATAAATGTGGGAAATGTCATCAAATGCTACTCCTTAAGGGTGCAAAACACAGTTTTATGTATGACGTTATCAGGACGTTACTTGGTGAGGGACATGCAAAACTGACCCCTATAAAAAAATAAAATGGAGGCTTGTTACATAGACTTCTGCATATCAATGGAAAGATAAAATTGTGAATTTTGTAAATATCCAACTATAATACATTCATCAATTACTACTAGGGTATTTGACACCTGAAATATGGGGGATATTGGGTTGTTTATGCATCCATTTTCAGTGCACCTATGCATTTTTAACCCCCCTGCTCAACAAAAACAGAAAAAATCAGACAAAATAAGTTGTATGCATTTCACAGAACAAGTCCTAAGGTTTTCTTTTAGTGTGCTTTCAGGGTACATTTTCCACCTCTTGAAAGAGCTACATTACCTGCTAATTGACTCATGCAATTCTGCACATGTGAAAACTGGATGTTTTGGGAGTTATCTCCCCCTATTAAAAAGTCTCACAATTTTTTTTTTCTAAAAATGAATGCACATTTTTTTCTTTAAATATTAAGATAAGACTCTACTTTATGCGAATAAAAACAAAAAAGATGCAGTTTTCATCTAGACTCCTATAAATAGCAGGAAAATCCCTACCCAGCATGCTTCTCTCTGGGAAAAACCCCCTGGATTTTATACGAAACTGTGTTTAGCTACCTTAAAGGAAATAATTTTTTCTTGCAATTCACTTTTTTGTATTTAGGTGCAAAGAGGACAGAATTCCAAACATTTTGGTGCATAAATTGTTGAATTTGGTCCAAAAATGGGCAAATTATTGTAAATTTAGTATTACATGTCTACGACATTAGTCGACGCATAAAACAGGACTTCGAAGAGAAATTCAAACCTAACCGAATCAGCTCACACAATAATTTTATTTTTCTTCAATTTAAAAAACACAAAGTATGAAATATACAGTATTTGAATATCAATAAAATGTTACATTATAAATTTTTTGAAAAGCTGCCAAACAATTTTTACAGATATTGCTAGTTTCTGTATAAACAAGGGGGGGGGGGGGGGGGGGGGGGGGGGGGGGTTGGAAAGAGTCACTGTCTTAAATCAGAAGATTGCCTAACACATCTGGATGGTGTCACCCTAACTAGATACTCAATAGGTCTATGTCACATGTATATCTATACAGAAGATACATATTCTCATTTGCGATCAATTAAATTGAAGGTCATGACCTTGCGAAGCTTCCATTTTTGACATGACGTCACACTTTGATGTCACAATGCAGTTGCGTCATAATGTAAAATAACAACTTTAGCCCCTGAATCCTTATCATATGTATAAATTCTATGGAACATGTATCTAATAGGCATTATGCCTTACACAGTGTCAACCTGAGATTATATTGTATGGTTTACTACATAAATTAAAACAAATAAAGCAATTTTCTATGAACTTACAGGCAAATAAATGTGGGAAATGTCATCAAATGCTACTCCTTAAGGGTGCAAAACACAGTTTTATGTATGACGTTATCAGGACGTTACTTGGTGAGGGACATGCAAAACTGACCCCTATAAAAAAATAAAATGGAGGCTTGTTACATAGACTTCTGCATATCAATGGAAAGATAAAATTGTGAATTTTGTAAATATCCAACTATAATACATTCATCAATTACTACTAGGGGGTATTTGACACCTGAAATATGGGGGATATTGGGTTGATTATGCATCCATTTTCAGTGCACCTATGCATTTTTAACCCCCCTGCTCAACAAAAACAGAAAAAATCAGACAAAATAAGTTGCATGCATTTCACAGAACAAGTCCTAAGGTTTTCTTTTAGTGTGCTTTCAGGGTACATTTTCCACCTCTTGAAAGAGCTACATTACCTGCTAATTGACTCATGCAATTCTGCACATGTGAAAACTGGATGTTTTGGGAGTTATCTCCCCCTATTAAAAAGTCTCACAATTTTTTTTTTCTAAAAATGAATGCACATTTTTTTCTTTAAATATTAAGATAAGACTCTACTTTATGCGAATAAAAACAAAAAAGATGCAGTTTTCATCTAGACTCCTATAAATAGCAGGAAAATCCCTACCCAGCATGCTTCTCTCTGGGAAAAACCCCCTGGATTTTATACGAAACTGTGTTTAGCTACCTTAAAGGAAATAATTTTTTTTTGCAATTCACTTTTTTGTATTTAGGTGCAAAGAGGACAGAATTCCAAACATTTTGGTGCATAAATTGTTGAATTTGGTCCAGAAATGGGCAAGTTATTGTAAATTTAGTATTACATGTCTACGACATTAGTCGACGCATAAAACAGGACTTCGAAGAGAAATTCAAACCTAACCGAATCAGCTCACACAATAATTTTATTTTTCTTCAATTTAAAAAACACAAAGTATGAAATATACAGTATTTGAATATCAATAAAATGTTACATTATAAATTTTTTGAAAAGCTGCCAAACAATTTTTACAGATATTGCTAGTTTCTGTATAAACAAGGGGGGGGGGGGGTCTAATTGGAAATAGTCACTGTCTTAAATCAGAAGATTGCCTAAAACATCTGGATGGTGTCACACTAACTAGATACTCAATAGGTCTATGTCACATGTATATCTATACAGAAGATACATATTCTCATTTGCGATCAATTAAATTGAAGGTCATGACCTTGCGAAGCTTCCATTTTTGACATGACATCACACTTTGATGTCACAATGCAGTTGCGTCATAATGTAAAATAACAACTTTAGCCCCTGAATCCTTATCATATGTATAAATTCTATGGAACATGTATCTAATAGGCATTATGCCTTACACAGTGTCAACCTGAGATTATATTGTATGGTTTACTACATAAATTAAAACAAATAAAGCAATTTTCTATGAACTTACAGGCAAATAAATGTGGGAAATGTCATCAAATGCTACTCCTTAAGGGTGCAAAACACAGTTTTATGTATGACGTTATCAGGACGTTACTTGGTGAGGGACATGCAAAACTGACCCCTATAAAAAAATAAAATGGAGGCTTGTTACATAGACTTCTGCATATCAATGGAAAGATAAAATTGTGAATTTTGTAAATATCCAACTATAATACATTCATCAATTACTACTAGGGGGTATTTGACACCTGAAATATGGGGGATATTGGGTTGTTTATGCATCCATTTTCAGTGCACCTATGCATTTTTAACCCCCCTGCTCAACAAAAACAGAAAAAATCAGACAAAATAAGTTGTATGCATTTCACAGAACAAGTCCTAAGGTTTTCTTTTAGTGTGCTTTCAGGGTACATTTTCCACCTCTTGAAAGAGCTACATTACCTGCTAATTGACTCATGCAATTCTGCACATGTGAAAACTGGATGTTTTGGGAGTTATCTCCCCCTATTAAAAAGTCTCACAATTTTTTTTTTCTAAAAATGAATGCACATTTTTTTCTTTAAATATTAAGATAAGACTCTACTTTATGCGAATAAAAACAAAAAAGATGCAGTTTTCATCTAGACTCCTATAAATAGCAGGAAAATCCCTACCCAGCATGCTTCTCTCTGGGAAAAACCCCCTGGATTTTATACGAAACTGTGTTTAGCTACCTTAAAGGAAATAATTTTTTTTTGCAATTCACTTTTTTGTATTTAGGTGCAAAGAGGACAGAATTCCAAACATTTTGGTGCATAAATTGTTGAATTTGGTCCAGAAATGGGCAAGTAATTGTAAATTTAGTATTACATGTCTACGACATTAGTCGACGCATAAAACAGGACTTCGAAGAGAAATTCAAACCTAACCGAATCAGCTAAATGGGCAAGTAATTGTAAATTTAGTATTACATGTCTACGACATTGGTCGACGCATAAAACAGGACTTCGAAGAAAAATTCAAACCTAACCGAATCAGCTCACACAATAATTTTATTTTTCTTAAATTTAAAAAACACAAAGTATGAAATATACAGTATTTGAATATCAATAAAATGTTACATTATAAATTTTTTGAAAAGCTGCCAAACAATTTTTACAGATATTGCTAGTTTCTGTATAAACAAGGGGGGGGGGGGGGGTCAAATTGGAAATAGTCACTGTCTTAAATCAGAAGATTGCCTAAAACATCTGGATGGTGTCACCCTAACTAGATACTCAATAGGTCTATGTCACATGTATATCTATACAGAAGATACATATTCTCATTTGCGATCAATTAAATTGAAGGTCATGACCTTGCGAAGCTTCCATTTTTGACATGACGTCACACTTTGATGTCACAATGCAGTTGCGTCATAATGTAAAATAACAACTTTAGCCCCTGAATCCTTATCATATGTATAAATTCTATGGAACATGTATCTAATAGGCATTATGCCTTACACAGTGTCAACCTGAGATTATATTGTATGGTTTACTACATAAATTAAAACAAATAAAGCAATTTTCTATGAACTTACAGGCAAATAAATGTGGGAAATGTCATCAAATGCTACTCCTTAAGGGTGCAAAACACAGTTTTATGTATGACGTTATCAGGACGTTACTTGGTGAGGGACATGCAAAACTGACCCCTATAAAAAAATAAAATGGAGGCTTGTTACATAGACTTCTGCATATCAATGGAAAGATAAAATTGTGAATTTTGTAAATATCCAACTATAATACATTCATCAATTACTACTAGGGGGTATTTGACACCTGAAATATGGGGGATATTGGGTTGTTTATGCATCCATTTTCAGTGCACCTATGCATTTTTAACCCCCCTGCTCAACAAAAACAGAAAAAATCAGACAAAATAAGTTGTATGCATTTCACAGAACAAGTCCTAAGGTTTTCTTTTAGTGTGCTTTCAGGGTACATTTTCCACCTCTTGAAAGAGCTACATTACCTGCTAATTGACTCATGCAATTCTGCACATGTGAAAACTGGATGTTTTGGGAGTTATCTCCCCCTATTAAAAAGTCTCACAATTTTTTTTTTCTAAAAATGAATGCACATTTTTTTCTTTAAATATTAAGATAAGACTCTACTTTATGCGAATAAAAACAAAAAAGATGCAGTTTTCATCTAGACTCCTATAAATAGCAGGAAAATCCCTACCCAGCATGCTTCTCTCTGGGAAAAACCCCCTGGATTTTATACGAAACTGTGTTTAGCTACCTTAAAGGAAATAATTTTTTTTTGCAATTCACTTTTTTGTATTTAGGTGCAAAGAGGACAGAATTCCAAACATTTTGGTGCATAAATTGTTGAATTTGGTCCAGAAATGGGCAAGTTATTGTAAATTTAGTATTACATGTCTACGACATTAGTCGACGCATAAAACAGGACTTCGAAGAGAAATTCAAACCTAACCGAATCAGCTCACACAATAATTTTATTTTTCTTCAATTTAAAAAACACAAAGTATGAAATATACAGTATTTGAATATCAATTAAATGTTACATTATAAATTTTTTGAAAAGCTGCCAAACAATTTTTACAGATATTGCTAGTTTCTGTATAAACAAGGGGGGGGGGGGGGGGGGTAATTGGAAATAGTCACTGTCTTAAATCAGAAGATTGCCAAAAAAATCTGGATGGTGTCACCCTAACTAGATACTCAATAGGTCTATGTCACATGTATATCTATACAGAAGATACATATTCTCATTTGCGATCAATTAAATTGAAGGTCATGACCTTGCGAAGCTTCCATTTTTGACATGACGTCACACTTTGATGTCACAATGCAGTTGCGTCATAATGTAAAATAACAACTTTAGCCCCTGAATCCTTATCATATGTATAAATTCTATGGAACATGTATCTAATAGGCATTATGCCTTACACAGTGTCAACCTGAGATTATATTGTATGGTTTACTACATAAATTAAAACAAATAAAGCAATTTTCTATGAACTTACAGGCAAATAAATGTGGGAAATGTCATCAAATGCTACTCCTTAAGGGTGCAAAACACAGTTTTATGTATGACGTTATCAGGACGTTACTTGGTGAGGGACATGCAAAACTGACCCCTATAAAAAAATAAAATGGAGGCTTGTTACATAGACTTCTGCATATCAATGGAAAGATAAAATTGTGAATTTTGTAAATATCCAACTATAATACATTCATCAATTACTACTAGGGGGTATTTGACACCTGAAATATGGGGGATATTGGGTTGTTTATGCATCCATTTTCAGTGCACCTATGCATTTTTAACCCCCCTGCTCAACAAAAACAGAAAAAATCAGACAAAATAAGTTGCATGCATTTCACAGAACAAGTCCTAAGGTTTTCTTTTAGTGTGCTTTCAGGGTACATTTTCCACCTCTTGAAAGAGCTACATTACCTGCTAATTGACTCATGCAATTCTGCACATGTGAAAACTGGATGTTTTGGGAGTTATCTCCCCCTATTAAAAAGTCTCACAATTTTTTTTTTCTAAAAATGAATGCACATTTTTTTCTTTAAATATTAAGATAAGACTCTACTTTATGCGAATAAAAACAAAAAAGATGCAGTTTTCATCTAGACTCCTATAAATAGCAGGAAAATCCCTACCCAGCATGCTTCTCTCTGGGAAAAACCCCCTGGATTTTATACGAAACTGTGTTTAGCTACCTTAAAGGAAATAATTTTTTTTTGCAATTCACTTTTTTGTATTTAGGTGCAAAGAGGACAGAATTCCAAACATTTTGGTGCATAAATTGTTGAATTTGGTCCAGAAATGGGCAAGTTATTGTAAATTTAGTATTACATGTCTACGACATTAGTCGACGCATAAAACAGGACTTCGAAGAGAAATTCAAACCTAACCGAATCAGCTCACACAATAATTTTATTTTTCTTCAATTTAAAAAACACAAAGTATGAAATATACAGTATTTGAATATCAATAAAATGTTACATTATAATTTTTTTTGAAAAGCTGCCAAACAATTTTTACAGATATTACTAGTTTCTGTATAAACAGGGCGGGGGAGGGGAGGCTTATTGGAAATAGACACTGTCTTAAATCAGAAGATTGCCTAAAAAATCTGGACGGTGTCACCCTAACTAGATACTCAATAGGTCTATGTCACATGTATATCTATACAGAAGATACATATTCTCATTTGCGATCAATTAAATTGAAGGTCATGACCTTGCGAAGCTTCCATTTTTGACATGACGTCACACTTTGATGTCACAATGCAGTTGCGTCATAATGTAAAATAACAACTTTAGCCCCTGAATCCTTATCATATGTATAAATTCTATGGAACATGTATCTAATAGGCATTATGCCTTACACAGTGTCAACCTGAGATTATATTGTATGGTTTACTACATAAATTAAAACAAATAAAGCAATTTTCTATGAACTTACAGGCAAATAAATGTGGGAAATGTCATCAAATGCTACTCCTTAAGGGTGCAAAACACAGTTTTATGTATGACGTTATCAGGACGTTACTTGGTGAGGGACATGCAAAACTGACCCCTATAAAAAAATAAAATGGAGGCTTGTTACATAGACTTCTGCATATCAATGGAAAGATAAAATTGTGAATTTTGTAAATATCCAACTATAATACATTCATCAATTACTACTAGGGGGTATTTGACACCTGAAATATGGGGGATATTGGGTTGTTTATGCATCCATTTTCAGTGCACCTATGCATTTTTAACCCCCCTGCTCAACAAAAACAGAAAAAATCAGACAAAATAAGTTGCATGCATTTCACAGAACAAGTCCTAAGGTTTTCTTTTAGTGTGCTTTCAGGGTACATTTTCCACCTCTTGAAAGAGCTACATTACCTGCTAATTGACTCATGCAATTCTGCACATGTGAAAACTGGATGTTTTGGGAGTTATCTCCCCCTATTAAAAAGTCTCACAATTTTTTTTTTCTAAAAATGAATGCACATTTTTTTCTTTATATTAAGATAAGACTCTACTTTATGCGAATAAAAACAAAAAAGATGCAGTTTTCATCTAGACTCCTATAAATAGCAGGAAAATCCCTACCCAGCATGCTTCTCTCTGGGAAAAACCCCCTGGATTTTATACGAAACTGTGTTTAGCTACCTTAAAGGAAATAATTTTTTTTTGCAATTCACTTTTTTGTATTTAGGTGCAAAGAGGACAGAATTCCAAACATTTTGGTGCATAAATTGTTGAATTTGGTCCAGAAATGGGCAAGTTATTGTAAATTTAGTATTACATGTCTACGACATTAGTCGACGCATAAAACAGGACTTCGAAGAGAAATTCAAACCTAACCGAATCAGCTCACACAATAATTTTATTTTTCTTCAATTTAAAAAACACAAAGTATGAAATATACAGTATTTGAATATCAATAAAATGTTACATTATAAATTTTTTGAAAAGCTGCCAAACAATTTTTACAGATATTGCTAGTTTCTGTATAAACAAGGGGGGGGGGGGGGGGGGGGGGGGGGTCTAATTGGAAATAGTCACTGTCTTAAATCAGAAGATTGCCTAAAAATCTGGATGGTGTCACCCTAACTAGATACTCAATAGGTCTATGTCACATGTATATCTATACAGAAGATACATATTCTCATTTGCGATCAATTAAATTGAAGGTCATGACCTTGCGAAGCTTCCATTTTTGACATGACGTCACACTTTGATGTCACAATGCAGTTGCGTCATAATGTAAAATAACAACTTTAGCCCCTGAATCCTTATCATATGTATAAATTCTATGGAACATGTATCTAATAGGCATTATGCCTTACACAGTGTCAACCTGAGATTATATTGTATGGTTTACTACATAAATTAAAACAAATAAAGCAATTTTCTATGAACTTACAGGCAAATAAATGTGGGAAATGTCATCAAATGCTACTCCTTAAGGGTGCAAAACACAGTTTTATGTATGACGTTATCAGGACGTTACTTGGTGGGGACATGCAAAACTGACCCCTATAAAAAAATAAAATGGAGGCTTGTTACATAGACTTCTGCATATCAATGGAAAGATAAAATTGTGAATTTTGTAAATATCCAACTATAATACATTCATCAATTACTACTAGGGGGTATTTGACACCTGAAATATGGGGGATATTGGGTTGTTTATGCATCCATTTTCAGTGCACCTATGCATTTTTAACCCCCCTGCTCAACAAAAACAGAAAAAATCAGACAAAATAAGTTGCATGCATTTCACAGAACAAGTCCTAAGGTTTTCTTTTAGTGTGCTTTCAGGGTACATTTTCCACCTCTTGAAAGAGCTACATTACCTGCTAATTGACTCATGCAATTCTGCACATGTGAAAACTGGATGTTTTGGGAGTTATCTCCCCCTATTAAAAAGTCTCACAATTTTTTTTTTCTAAAAATGAATGCACATTTTTTTCTTTAAATATTAAGATAAGACTCTACTTTATGCGAATAAAAACAAAAAGATGCAGTTTTCATCTAGACTCCTATAAATAGCAGGAAAATCCCTACCCAGCATGCTTCTCTCTGGGAAAAACCCCCTGGATTTTATACGAAACTGTGTTTAGCTACCTTAAAGGAAATAATTTTTTTTTGCAATTCACTTTTTTGTATTTAGGTGCAAAGAGGACAAATTCAAACATTTTTTAAATTGTATTTAGAAATGTGCAAAGAGGACAGAATTCCAAACATTTTGGTGCATAAATTGTTGAATTTGGTCCAGAAATGGGCAAGTTATTGTAAATTTAGTATTACATGTCTACGACATTAGTCGACGCATAAAACAGGACGAAGAGAAATTCAAACCTAACCGAATCAGCTCACACAATAATTTTATTTTTCTTCAATTTAAAAAACACAAAGTATGAAATATACAGTATTTGAATATCAATAAAATGTTACATTATAAATTTTTTGAAAAGCTGCCAAACAATTTTTACAGATATTGCTAGTTTCTGTATAAACAAGGGGGGGGGGGGGGGGGGGGGCTAATTGGAAATAGTCACTGTCTTAAATAAGAAGATTGCCACAAAAATCTGGATGGTGTCACCCTAACTAGATACTCAATAGGTCTATGTCACATGTATATCTATACAGAAGATACATATTCTCATTTGCGATCAATTAAATTGAAGGTCATGACCTTGCGAAGCTTCCATTTTTGACATGACGTCACACTTTGATGTCACAATGCAGTTGCGTCATAATGTAAAATAACAACTTTAGCCCCTGAATCCTTATCATATGTATAAATTCTATGGAACATGTATCTAATAGGCATTATGCCTTACACAGTGTCAACCTGAGATTATATTGTATGGTTTACTACATAAATTAAAACAAATAAAGCAATTTTCTATGAACTTACAGGCAAATAAATGTGGGAAATGTCATCAAATGCTACTCCTTAAGGGTGCAAAACACAGTTTTATGTATGACGTTATCAGGACGTTACTTGGTGAGGGACATGCAAAACTGACCCCTATAAAAAAATAAAATGGAGGCTTGTTACATAGACTTCTGCATATCAATGGAAAGATAAAATTGTGAATTTTGTAAATATCCAACTATAATACATTCATCAATTACTACTAGGGGGTATTTGACACCTGAAATAAGGGGGATATTGGGTTGTTTATGCATCCATTTTCAGTGCACCTATGCATTTTTAACCCCCCTGCTCAACAAAAACAGAAAAAATCAGACAAAATAAGTTGCATGCATTTCACAGAACAAGTCCTAAGGTTTTCTTTTAGTGTGCTTTCAGGGTACATTTTCCACCTCTTGAAAGAGCTACATTACCTGCTAATTGACTCATGCAATTCTGCACATGTGAAAACTGGATGTTTTGGGAGTTATCTCCCCCTATTAAAAAGTCTCACAATTTTTTTTTTCTAAAAATGAATGCACATTTTTTTCTTTAAATATTAAGATAAGACTCTACTTTATGCGAATAAAAACAAAAAAGATGCAGTTTTCATCTAGACTCCTATAAATAGCAGGAAAATCCCTACCCAGCATGCTTCTCTCTGGGAAAAACCCCCTGGATTTTATACGAAACTGTGTTTAGCTACCTTAAAGGAAATAATTTTTTTTTGCAATTCACTTTTTTGTATTTAGGTGCAAAGAGGACAGAATTCCAAACATTTTGGTGCATAAATTGTTGAATTTGGTCCAGAAATGGGCAAGTTATTGTAAATTTAGTATTACATGTCTACGACATTAGTCGACGCATAAAACAGGACTTCGAAGAGAAATTCAAACCTAACCGAATCAGCTCACACAATAATTTTATTTTTCTTCAATTTAAAAAACACAAAGTATGAAATATACAGTATTTGAATATCAATAAAATGTTACATTATAAATTTTTTGAAAAGCTGCCAAACAATTTTTACAGATATTGCTAGTTTCTGTATAAACAAGGGGGGGGGGGGGGGGGGGTCTAATTGGAAATAGTCACTGTCTTAAATCAGAAGTTTGCCTTAAAAATCTGGATGGTGTCACCCTAACTAGATACTCAATAGGTCTATGTCACATGTATATCTATACAGAAGATACATATTCTCATTTGCGATCAATTAAATTGAAGGTCATGACCTTGCGAAGCTTCCATTTTTGACATGACGTCACACTTTGATGTCACAATGCAGTTGCGTCATAATGTAAAATAACAACTTTAGCCCCTGAATCCTTATCATATGTATAAATTCTATGGAACATGTATCTAATAGGCATTATGCCTTACACAGTGTCAACCTGAGATTATATTGTATGGTTTACTACATAAATTAAAACAAATAAAGCAATTTTCTATGAACTTACAGGCAAATAAATGTGGGAAATGTCATCAAATGCTACTCCTTAAGGGTGCAAAACACAGTTTTATGTATGACGTTATCAGGACGTTACTTGGTGAGGGACATGCAAAACTGACCCCTATAAAAAAATAAAATGGAGGCTTGTTACATAGACTTCTGCATATCAATGGAAAGATAAAATTGTGAATTTTGTAAATATCCAACTATAATACATTCATCAATTACTACTAGGGGGTATTTGACACCTGAAATATGGGGGATATTGGGTTGTTTATGCATCCATTTTCAGTGCACCTATGCATTTTTAACCCCCCTGCTCAACAAAAACAGAAAAAATCAGACAAAATAAGTTGCATGCATTTCACAGAACAAGTCCTAAGGTTTTCTTTTAGTGTGCTTTCAGGGTACATTTTCCACCTCTTGAAAGAGCTACATTACCTGCTAATTGACTCATGCAATTCTGCACATGTGAAAACTGGAAAACTGGATGTTTGGGAGTTATCTCCCCCTATTAAAAAGTCTCACAATTTTTTTTTTCTAAAAATGAATGCACATTTTTTTCTTTAAATATTAAGATAAGACTCTACTTTATGCGAATAAAAACAAAAAAGATGCAGTTTTCATCTAGACTCCTATAAATAGCAGGAAAATCCCTACCCAGCATGCTTCTCTCTGGGAAAAACCCCCTGGATTTTATACGAAACTGTGTTTAGCTACCTTAAAGGAAATAATTTTTTTTTGCAATTCACTTTTTTGTATTTAGGTGCAAAGAGGACAGAATTCCAAACATTTTGGTGCATAAATTGTTGAATTTGGTCCAGAAATGGGCAAGTTATTGTAAATTTAGTATTACATGTCTACGACATTAGTCGACGCATAAAACAGGACTTCGAAGAGAAATTCAAACCTAACCGAATCAGCTCACACAATAATTTTATTTTTCTTCAATTTAAAAAACACAAAGTATGAAATATACAGTATTTGAATATCAATAAAATGTTACATTATAAATTTTTTGAAAAGCTGCCAAACAATTTTTACAGATATTGCTAGTTTCTGTATAAACAAGGGGGGGGGGGGGGGGGGGGGGGGGGTCTAATTGGAAATAGTCACTGTCTTAAATCAGAAGATTGCCTAAAAATCTGGATGGTGTCACCCTAACTAGATACTCAATAGGTCTATGTCACATGTATATCTATACAGAAGATACATATTCTCATTTGCGATCAATTAAATTGAAGGTCATGACCTTGCGAAGCTTCCATTTTTGACATGACGTCACACTTTGATGTCACAATGCAGTTGCGTCATAATGTAAAATAACAACTTTAGCCCCTGAATCCTTATCATATGTATAAATTCTATGGAACATGTATCTAATAGGCATTATGCCTTACACAGTGTCAACCTGAGATTATATTGTATGGTTTACTACATAAATTAAAACAAATAAAGCAATTTTCTATGAACTTACAGGCAAATAAATGTGGGAAATGTCATCAAATGCTACTCCTTAAGGGTGCAAAACACAGTTTTATGTATGACGTTATCAGGACGTTACTTGGTGAGGGACATGCAAAACTGACCCCTATAAAAAAATAAAATGGAGGCTTGTTACATAGACTTCTGCATATCAATGGAAAGATAAAATTGTGAATTTTGTAAATATCCAACTATAATACATTCATCAATTACTACTAGGGGGTATTTGACACCTGAAATATGGGGGATATTGGGTTGTTTATGCATCCATTTTCAGTGCACCTATGCATTTTTAACCCCCCTGCTCAACAAAAACAGAAAAAATCAGACAAAATAAGTTGCATGCATTTCACAGAACAAGTCCTAAGGTTTTCTTTTAGTGTGCTTTCAGGGTACATTTTCCACCTCTTGAAAGAGCTACATTACCTGCTAATTGACTCATGCAATTCTGCACATGTGAAAACTGGATGTTTTGGGAGTTATCTCCCCCTATTAAAAAGTCTCACAATTTTTTTTTTCTAAAAATGAATGCACATTTTTTTCTTTAAATATTAAGATAAGACTCTACTTTATGCGAATAAAAACAAAAAAGATGCAGTTTTCATCTAGACTCCTATAAATAGCAGGAAAATCCCTACCCAGCATGCTTCTCTCTGGGAAAAACCCCCTGGATTTTATACGAAACTGTGTTTAGCTACCTTAAAGGAAATAATTTTTTTTTGCAATTCACTTTTTTGTATTTAGGTGCAAAGAGGACAGAATTCCAAACATTTTGGTGCATAAATTGTTGAATTTGGTCCAGAAATGGGCAAGTTATTGTAAATTTAGTATTACATGTCTACGACATTAGTCGACGCATAAAACAGGACTTCGAAGAGAAATTCAAACCTAACCGAATCAGCTCACACAATAATTTTATTTTTCTTCAATTTAAAAAACACAAAGTATGAAATATACAGTATTTGAATATCAATAAAATGTTACATTATAAATTTTTTGAAAAGCTGCCAAACAATTTTTACAGATATTGCTAGTTTCTGTATAAACAAGGGGGGGGGGGGGGGGTCTAATTGGAAATAGTCACTGTCTTAAATCAGAAGATTGCCTAAAAAATCTGGATGGTGTCACCCTAACTAGATACTCAATAGGTCTATGTCACATGTATATCTATACAGAAGATACATATTCTCATTTGCGATCAATTAAATTGAAGGTCATGACCTTGCGAAGCTTCCATTTTTGACATGACGTCACACTTTGATGTCACAATGCAGTTGCGTCATAATGTAAAATAACAACTTTAGCCCCTGAATCCTTATCATATGTATAAATTCTATGGAACATGTATCTAATAGGCATTATGCCTTACACAGTGTCAACCTGAGATTATATTGTATGGTTTACTACATAATTTAAAACAAATAAAGCAATTTTCTATGAACTTACAGGCAAATAAATGTGGGAAATGTCATCAAATGCTACTCCTTAAGGGTGCAAAACACAGTTTTATGTATGACGTTATCAGGACGTTACTTGGTGAGGGACATGCAAAACTGACCCCTATAAAAAAATAAAATGGAGGCTTGTTACATAGACTTCTGCATATCAATGGAAAGATAAAATTGTGAATTTTGTAAATATCCAACTATAATACATTCATCAATTACTACTAGGGGGTATTTGACACCTGAAATAAGGGGGATATTGGGTTGTTTATGCATCCATTTTCAGTGCACCTATGCATTTTTAACCCCCCTGCTCAACAAAAACAGAAAAAATCAGACAAAATAAGTTGCATGCATTTCACAGAACAAGTCCTAAGGTTTTCTTTTAGTGTGCTTTCAGGGTACATTTTCCACCTCTTGAAAGAGCTACATTACCTGCTAATTGACTCATGCAATTCTGCACATGTGAAAACTGGATGTTTTGGGAGTTATCTCCCCCTATTAAAAAGTCTCACAATTTTTTTTTTCTAAAAATGAATGCACATTTTTTTCTTTAAATATTAAGATAAGACTCTACTTTATGCGAATAAAAACAAAAAAGATGCAGTTTTCATCTAGACTCCTATAAATAGCAGGAAAATCCCTACCCAGCATGCTTCTC